AAAAAAAAAAAAGAAGAAAAGAAAGAAAGAAAAGAAAGAAAAGAAAGAAAGAAAGAAAAGAAAGAAAGAAAGAGAAAAAGAAAAAACTTACATGCACATAAAAAAACCTTACATGCACATAAACCCAGATATTCATGCAATCAACAAATACCCAGGCAGAAAAAAAATCTACAATTTGACAAAGGGTTATTTCCCTTAACATAATAAGAGCTCTTTTAAATCTGTAAGAAAAAAGCTCACACCTCACAGAATAAGTGCCAAAGGACATGAACACACTAATAAAATAAATAAAAGTGGCTAAGAAAAATGGAAAAAGTGTTCAATCTCACAAATAACCAAATGTAAATTAGGGTACCAATGAGGTTCTACTTTTCACTTAACAAATTATCAATAGTTGTAAACAGTAAATGCTAAAGCGAAAACATCAGACAGAATCTCTTTCTGCTGGGAAAACTTACTGTAGTGTGAGTTTTCCTAGAAAGCAGTTTGTCCATATAAAAGAAATATGCACTTCCTTTTATTCAATAATTCTTCTAAGATTCTCTTCCAAGGAAATAACCATAAGTGAGAACAAAGATTGAACTACAAAGACATATTATCTGTAACAGTGCAGAACTGTAAGTATATTCCCCAAAATAGGAATGATCCAACAATTTATGGCCCATCCATGTGATGTTTTTAAGAGTGTTTTTTGTTTTGTTTTGTTTTTGAGATGGAGTCTTGCTCTGTCGCCCAGGCTGGAGTGCAGTGGTGCAATCTCGGATCACTGCAACTTCCACCTCCTGGGTTCCAGTGATTCTCCTGCCTCAGCCTCCCTAGTAGCTGAGATTACAGGCACTCACTACCATGCCTGGCTAATTTTTGTATTTTTAGTACAGAAAGCGTTTCACCAAGTTGGCCAGGCTGGTCTGGAACTCCTGACTTCAGGTGATCCACCAGCCTCAGCCTCCCAAAGTGCTCAGAGTATAGGCATGAGGCACCACGCCCGGCCTAGGAGTGGTTTAACAGCCTGAGAAAATGCTTAAATGCTTTTAGTATAATGTTGGGAGAAATAGGTCTCAATTTTGCTTTTTTTTTTTTTTTTTTTTTTAAAGTGTGTTTATGAAAAATGCTAACAGATGATGTCTTGATGAAGACATGATCTAACTTTTATTGCTTTTCTTCATTAAGCTTTTCTGGATTTTATACTAGAAAGTGTGTTACTTTTATAATTAAATGGGGGCAGGAGTGTTTAATTTTTTGTTTTATAGTGCGAGGAACAGCATGAGGTCTGTCCCCGACAGAGAATCTAAGAGGACTGTCAGAAGCAGGGTGCAAGTTCCAGTTCTTCCCCAATGGCTGACTTGCTAAACATCCACACAAAACCACAAAAACCTTAGAGACGCTACTCTAAGCCCACCACACAATTACCACACAATTTCATTTCCTTTTCTTTTTTTTTTTTGTGAGACAGAATCTCACTGTTGTCTCCCACGCTGGAATGCAGTGGCTCAAACATGGCTCATTGCAGCCTGAACCTCCCAGGCTCAAGCAATTCTCCTGCCTCAACCTCCCAAGTAGCTGGGATTACAGGTGCCCGCCACCACATCTGGGTAATTTTGTATTTTTTGTAGAGACAAGGTTGCGCCATGTTGCCTAGGATGATCTCAAGGTCCTGAGCCTCCCAAGTAGCTGGGATTACAGGTTTGCGCCACCACACCTGGCCAATGTTTGTATTTTTTATAGAGATGGGGTTTCACCATGTTGCTAGGCAGACCTCAAGGTCCTGAGCTCAAGCAATCTGCCCACCTCATCCTCCCAAAGTGCTGGAATTACATGAGCCACCACACCCGGCCAATTTCATTTTCAATGTGGATTTCTTTTCTCCAATCTGGTGCCACCTACGATCCATTTTATTTTGAAGGGGCTACTTTAGACAAATTAATTCAAGTCAGCTCACCATATACATACCAGGTACAACAAGGTAGAGTCAAAGTAAGTTCTACTTATTTTTAAAACAGAAATGGGGTCTTGCTAGATTGCCCAGGCTGGTCTCTTAACTCCTCGCCTCAAGTAATGTGCAAATGTCTCTCCCTCCCATCAGCTACCTGTGTGGCTGCTGAATCTGGACGTGGTCCAAACGTGGTCACTGCCACTGTGTGGAAAAGTCCAAAGTGATTAGGAAATGCTTCAGCCATGACGCACAGCACAGCAAGAATGCTGCCACAAGGACGGGGAGTTTCCACTGGCAGGAACGAAAAGCTATCCAAGTTTGAAATCAAGAAGGGCAAAATAAGGGAAAAGAGGAAAAGACCAAATCAGAACTGAGAACACGACAGGAGTATGGTCAGGCTTTAGTGAAGTCCCCGGTCTGCCTCCAAGCAGCCTCTGGGCATGAGGTGATAACGGGGACCAGGAAGAAGCCGCTTGGGGTGATGAAGTGAGGAGTCCACTTTTTCTTCTCATGAAGCACCTTAGGTGTGGGGCGGATACAGGACTGTCCAAATGGAGCTGCATGTGGCAGCATGGCAGGCTCAGTCACCCAGGCAGTTCATGCAGGTTCATTTCTTGGGCAGCCATGACAATATGGAAGCAATGAACCCTTGTCCAGAGCAGTGAGGCAGGCAGATGGAGGTTCCTGCTAGGCATCCCTTCTTCCTAGGGAAGCCAAGCATGTTCCAAGCTCCCGCATGCTCTGGAAGGCAACAATTGCTCCTCTGTATCAAGGAGAAGTTGAAGGTCATGGAAGAGACATAAAAAAGTGGCCAAGCCAGCCGGGTGCTGTGGTCGTGCCTATAATCCCAGCACTTTGCGGGACCAAGGCAAGTGGATCACGAGGTCAAGAGATCAAGACCATCCTGGCTAACACAGTGAAACCCCATCTCTACTATAAATACAAAAAAATTAGCCAAGCGTGGTGGTGCATGCCGATAGTCCCCACTACTCGGAAGGCTAAGGCAGGAGAAGGCAGGAGAGGGAGGTTACAGTGAGCCAAGATCATGCCATTGCACTCCAGCCCGGGCACTGGAGCGAAATTCAGTCTGAAAAAGAAAACAAACGAGAAAAGTGGCCAAGCCAAGACTTCAAGTACTTTTGTACAATTTTTTAAAAAGCTGTATGGTCTGAATGTTTACATCCCTCCAGAATTCATGTATTGAAATCTTTACCCCCAAGGTGATGATATTAGCAGGTGGGGATTTGGGGAGGTGATTAGGTCATGGGGGCAGAGCCCTCAACAATGGGATTAGTGCCCTTCTAAAAGAGGCCCAAGAGAGATCCACATGACATTCCAAAGAAAAGACAGTGGTCTATGTAAGATCTGGAAAAGAGCCCCTCACTGGATACCGAATCTGCCTTGATATTGGACTTCCTAGCCTCCAGAACTGTGAAAATAAACTTCTGATTTGTATTTTATTTATTTATTTATTTTGAGACAGGGTCTCACTTTGTCCCCCAGGCTGGAGTGCAAGGGCACAATCACAGGTCACTGCAACCTCAACTTCCCAGGCTCAGGTGATCTTCCCACCTCGGCCTCTCAAGTAGCTGGGACTACAGGCATGCGCCACCACGCCCAACTAATTTTTTGTATTTTTAGTAGAGATGGGGTTTCTCCATGTTGGCCAGGCTGATCTCAAACTCCTGGGCTCAAGCAATCCACCTGCCTTGGCCTCTCGAAGTGCTAGGATTACAGGTGTGAGCCACCACACCAGGCCAACTTCTGATTTTTATAATAT